CCTTTGTTATCTTCGTCCTGATGACACATACCTCGCTGCATTAAAGTAGTTTACGCGTTTAACCTTTGGTATATTCGTCCTGATGACACACACACCTCGCTGTATTAAAGTAGTTTACACATCGAACCTTTGGTATGTTCGTCCTGATGACACATACCTCGCTGCATTAAAGTAGTTTACGCGTTTAACCTTTGGTATGTTCGTCCTGATGACACATACCTCGCTGCATTAAAGTAGTTTACACGTTGAACCTTTGGTATGTCGTCCTGATGACATATAAATAGTTTACACGTTTAACCTTTGGTATGTTCGTCCTGATGACACACACACCTCGCTGTATTAAAGTAGTTTACACATCGAACCTTTGGTATGTTCGTCCTGATGACACATACCTCGCTGCATTAAAGTAGTTTACACGTATAACCTTTGGTATGTCGTCCTGATGACATATAAATAGTTTACACGTTTAACCCTTGGTATGTTCGTCCTGATGACACACACACCTCGCTGTATTAAAGTAGTTTACACATCGAACCTTTGGTATGTTCGTCCTGATGACACATACCTCGCTGCATTAAAGTAGTTTACGCGTTTAACCTTTGGTATGTTCGTCCTGATGACACATACCTCGTTGCATTAAAGTAGTTTACACGTTGAACCTTTGGTATCTTCGTCCTGATAACATATACCTCGCTGTATTAAAGTAGTTTACACGTTTAACCTTTGGTATGTTCGTTCTGATGACATATACCTCGCTGTATTAAAATAGTTTACACGTTTAACCTTTGGTATGTTCGTCCTGATGACATATACCTCGCTGTATTAAAATAGCTTACACGTTGAACCTTTGAACTGATTTAAATAATTTGTGAGCATTAACATTTTACATATGTATTTAGTAATGGCTGCTGTATTTGAAAGTTTTTTCTGAAAGAAAAATACATAAAAAAAGAAACCTCTCATACCACTATAACAGTTTGCAATGTCAAAGAATATTGCATAAAATGGTCAGTCTTATTTTGGAGCATGTCTATAGCCTTATGAAATAAACGTACATTTAGCAGATTAAACTATCCGCAGTGTTTCTTCCAGAAATATGTTTTTGTTAAATGTCTAGGCTGTATAAGAAAGTAAACTAAAATTTCCTTTACTTATTCAAATTCTCCTGCCCCCCAGGAGTTCCACTTGTTGCTAGATGGGAACGTTTTATTGTTAGATATTTATTGTAACAACAAAATATTTAGTGTAACCTATGTTTCGACAAATATTGTTAGCACGTGTTTCACACAGTCTTAAATGGGAATAAAACCGATTAGAAATATTTCATTTACTCCAAAAGTCTAGAGAAAAACCCATAACTAGATAAAGAGAAACATAGGATATATTTCATTTGTTAAAATGAAAGAAACTTTTATGCAACAACCCCCCACCACCACCCACTTCCTACGGGGAAGGCGTAGCTCATACATCTTTGATAATACTGGCGTGTCAGAAACGTCGACTATAATTATTCTATAATGTTTAAAAACTGAAAAAATATAATGAAGTAAAATAATGTATTTATAGTTCGGAAAATTTCCACATGGAGGACTTTCCTTGTAGTCATTGGTGGTATTCAAATGTTACAGAAGTTTAAAATGACTTGAACATATTATATAAAAATATTTACTGTACTATTGATGCGATCCAGTGAGATTTTTTTTCTGGAGTTATAAAATAACTGACGTATAATGTTGACACTTAATACTCAAATTATATTTGTGGCTCAATATGAACGGTTAACTTACCTCTGCAATTGTTCTATTTTATGTTAACATAAGGTGTAGTTATTTCAGGTACTAACGCTAGCACAAAACCCACTCTACAGAACCCTGTTCCAATCGTATTGCCCCCAGGAAACGCCATGAAAATCGTAACGGTTGAATTTAAATGAACCATCTTACAATGAAAGAAAACTACCTTTGTCGAACTGTTAACTCCTTGCAGCGACCAAGAAGAAGTTGAATATATAGACTTTGCTCCTGACGTTCGACAAAAGCCGTCAGTTGTTTGTATAGCGTCTGTCAGAAACAATTATATTTTATCATTTCCTTTTCAGGGAACATCATGTACTAGGTAAAGTATGGGTTATTTCATATAGATAATGTGGTTTCTTTAATGTTCACTTTAGTTATATGCCTGCTAGGCACGTGGATGTAATCTACAACAGCTTTAGAAAAGTATAAAGTAAATACAAAATCAACAGCACGTGTTTACGATAATGCCATCAGCGAAAAACCTTTTTACTTTTTATTTTTTTGCAGATTCGGCAATTTATATACGCAACTGATTTTGTAGCTTTCGATATTACCGAAACAAAATAAAACATAATATCTGCCATAGTAAAGAGTTAAATACTTCATTTACCTAACAACGTCAAAAGTTGTTAGATTAAATATTTCAAGTATTCACGAACAGGAACTATGATGTAAAGGACATAGGACTTCATTATTTGCTAATGTTGCTAACTTCAGAGTTAATCGGTGCTGTATCTATAGTTACGGAAATGTGATATATATATTTTAAAGCTTTACAAATACAATTTGTAGTTTAACTATGTTTGTGTTCCAAGCAGAAACTGAAATGAATTACTTAATCTAAAGAAATATTACCATTTATCAGTCAGACTTTAAAACCAAATGTTAGAGTCAGTTAGCCAACTATTTTATATTTTTGGAGCCATTTTTTATATTTTAGCCAATTTGGCGAAGCCACTACGTAATAGCAAAGTAATTCTAAAATAAGAGATAAGCGTCGCCCTTATCACCCTCATCGATACCTTTAACTCTGCATAAGACGATAATATAATAACTTAATCCTCAATATACAACGATGGGTTCCTTCAAATTGAAAATAAAAAATAATACATCAATGAAGATAAATCTAAACAAAATACCGTTCAATTTCCTAAACTGTTAGTAAAAGTTCAGTAGCTGTTTACTGGTTGTTTTAATCTAGGTTTCATTTGAAGGAATCGAGACTATAGTATTGGTGAAGGAGACGATTGTATTCCTTCAAATGAAACCTAGATTAAAACGAGACTATAGTATTGGTGAAGGAGACGATTGTCGGCTTTACCTATTACTTTGAACATACTTAATGCATGCCGAATAATGTTTGAACTGTCCTTGAACCTAGAATTAGAGTGTTTCTTTAAACGATTTCCCGGCCTTCTAATAGTCGAAGCGACGTAAGCGCCCTCATATGTTGGGCAACACGTAGTTGTTGAGAAAACTGGATACGATCTTTAAACCTGAAAAAAAATATGAATTTTTTTTAAAGGTTTGAATGCACATTTGGGATAAAGTTGTGGATAGACTCGGATGATTATGGTGTTTAAATGTGAGCCTGTGTACGGTAGGGAGATCATTACCTGTAGCTTATGGGACGTCATAGTTCAGTGACGGGATAGATGTATTTGTTGAACAGTTTTATTAATTCTATCATTAACAAGCATCAGAAGCACTAAAATGGAAACTGAATAAATTATGTATTTATTTGTTGTTAAGCTCAAAGCTTCACAATGGCCTGTGTGAGCTGTGCGCACCTCGAGTTTCGAACCCTAAATTTTACCGTTATAAGCCTCAAGCTAACCGTGGAGGCTGAGTGAAATGAGGAGTCCCTATACGTATCTGATGTTCATCAAAACCTTTTATAACAAAATAAATAAATGCGTTTTTAAATGCTTTTATTTGTTTGAAAAAACAACCAATAGAATAATCAGTAGGAAATTCATAATTACAGGTTTTTTCGTAACTTAAAACAACAACAATCAAGACTTTCAGTGTTTTAAAATTTGAGTTGAGAAACAGAGATAGTTTCGGAACGAAAATCTGATATCGCGGTATTTGCTCATATTTTGACTTCTAGAACTAGACTATAGTATTTGTTAAGTTTGTTGGTGAAAGAATTACAATTCCAGTCTTTTTACGGTCGTATGTTGGGCTATTTCTTTGAAATGTTTGTAACACTTGCTATAAAATGCCTAATGCGTGTGTAGAAATGTTATCTCTCATACTAACGATTTCAAAGATTCTCTCAGTGGAATTCTATTTCTGTGTATTGAAGAGTTCTAATCGAAGGAACGGACCCCTATCGACGAATCTTCACGTTAAATACCTATTAGAATTGCATTCCTTCTACCTAAAAATTCTGAAGTAAGATTTAGAAAAAAAAACATTAAAATTGAAAAGGAAAGCTATCGGGCATTAGATAAAGTAAATTACATTTTGTAATGAACATAATGAACATAACATATTTGATATTCTCGTCTTTAAACATTTGAGGAATTGACATCCATTATAACGAACTAGTTTATTTGTGTGAGAATTACATTATATGTTAACTTTCTGTAATAAAAAAATACTTACAACAACAAGGAACGTATAAAGAAATACATTTTTTCTCGTGTATAAATCAATATCAGTACTCTAGAAAGAGAATAAAACCATGTTCCAGATATTTGTTTTAATGGTACGTCTTGTGATTGTTTGTTTGCAGTTAAGCACAAAGTTATACAACGGGCTATTTATGCTCTGCTCATCTCAAGTATCGAAACCCGGCTTCTAGCGATTTACGTCTGCAGACATGCTGCTGTGCCACTGTGTGGGGGGGGGGGGGGTCTCTCAGCGTTAAGTCTGAAGGCTTATAACACTAATATCCGGGCTTCGATATCCATGTTGGCCACGGCACAGATATTGTATTGTGTATGTTTGCGCTTAGCAACAAACAGACAGACAAAACTGTTTCTATCGAAACTTCGCGCAATTTTGAACCAATAAACTAGAGGGAAGGCAATCAGCCAGGCCAACACCGCCAATATTGGGTTCATTTTGTCTGACCGAATAGTTGGATTTGATTAACACTCTTGTAGCTCACCCACGGTCCCAAAGACACTATATTATAGATCCCAACTCTTTATCTTTTTAAAATTTATCTAACCTTAACTTTATTTGAAAGGTCCACCAACTGTGAAGGCGAAACCTGTACAGTACGGAGAGATGGGCCAAAAAGTCGAAGTAGAGTGTAGTATTTATTCGGTGCCAAGTCCTGCTCGAATAACGTGGACAAAAAACTCTCAGGTAAGTATCGCAACAGGGGTTGGAAACATGGAACTCTCGGGTAAGCATCCCAACAGGGGCTGGAAACATAGAACTCTCGGATAAACATCGCAACGCGGGCTGGAAAAATAAAACTCTCAGGTAAGCATCCCAACACGGGCTTGAAATATAAACCTAGAACTCTTTGCTACGCATTGTAACACGGGCTAGAAACATATAACTCTCAGGTAAACATCGCAACGCGGGCTGGAAAAGTAAAACTCTCAGGTAAGCATCCCAACACGGGCTTGAAATATAAACCTAGAACTCTTTGCTACGCATTGTAACACGGGCTAGAAACATAGAACTCTCAGGTAAGCATTGTAACACGGGCTGGAAACATGTTTGAAGACCTCAAGTAAGTGTTCTAACAGGCGTATGCAACATAAAGACGGAATGTGAACGCTCATGTTAGTTATTACATAACTGTAATATACTATAATCATGATGGTCCATGTTGTATATTACAGTCATGGACCATCATGATTATAGTATATTACAGTTATGGACCATCATTATTATTGTATATTACAGTCATGGACCATCATGATTATTGTATATTACAGTTATGGACCATCATTATTATATGTGTGGTACGGTCTGACAAGTCAAGCTCATGACAGGCGGCTGTTTGTGCTAGCAATTACTAATCGTAGTATTCATACCCCATGGAAAAAAATTAAAAAGTGAACATTTTCTAAAAAAAATGATTTTTATGGGAAGTACTCAAGGGAAAAGTGTCCAGATTATCCTGATATAAATGTAATATTTTTATACATTAAAAGTGGTACCCTTTATTGAAAAAATAACAGTTTTTTTTAAGAACTCCATTTCGATTACTATATTTAAAATTACATCAATAAAGATATAACCAAATCCTCACAGTCCTAGTAAAAATCGTGTTGTGAGTAGAGTACTTTTATTTAAAATTGTGTTCTGTGATAAACAAATGGTTGTTGCACATACCAAAGTTATTTTTCTAATTCTCTGAATCTTGAATACCTAAATTGTGAATTTTTAAAGGAATTTTGTTTGTGGTGCCATTCAATAGATAGTGTCACATTGTATTTAATATTTTGTTCACATACATAGATAGGTACATATATATACACGCTACGTCCATTATAGTCATGATTATAAGTGTTAGGTGTGGTCTGACAAGTCACGCTGAATAATGTTTAGTGTACATGATACTCCAGTACCATCATCAATGAAGTTGGGTCTTCCAAGTCTCTCTGTGTACAACTGATGACAAAAAAGTATTTAGTGGGAAATATTTCAAGTTTAATTTATCATTCATTTCCAAGGATGAACACTTAATTCGAGAACTGCAATGAAAATAATAAATTCTAAGTAACTTAAAATCACAATAATTTAAGCACAGTGTTTATGTTAGAAACTCTCTTTCATCAATAAATGTATCTTCCACTTTGGAATACAAATATATTAAACGAGAAGATAAATTAATTCATACAATGACGATGATTATGAATGTTCCACAATAAAATGTGAACCCACTTTAAACGGCAGTTATAATATCAATGTACTCAATAGGCGTTATTAACCATAAGATGTGCTTTACCAAGTGTATAAACACGCACAAAGTCGAGATGCTGTATGAATTTTAATTTTTGAAGCATCCAAGTTTTTTGTATGTATTATTTTGTAAGTAGAGTTTGATTCTTTTATACATACCGCAGGTGGTGGAGATTGATAACACACATGGATACGAGATCGTGACACAGCCCCTGGCAGACGGTGTGCGAAACCTTCTTATAATTCATAACGCCGAAAAAAGCGACTTTGGCACCTATAACTGTTCGGTGTGGAACGACTTCGGGCATGACAGTATGCTGATCTCATTAAAGCGCCAAGGTTAGAAATGAGTTTATGACTGACAACTTTGTCTATTCTAAAACACTAGTAAAGTAAGTTTTGAAACTCACAAATCCAGCAACGATATTTTCTTCGAATGTTAATAGACATAATATAAACTGAAGAAGTAGTGATGTATACAACTGTTATCATTCCTCTTCACTAATGATGTGTACAACTGTTGTGAAGAGGAATGATTTGTACACATCATTACTGTTATCATTCCTCTTCTCTAATGATGCGTACAATTGTTGTCATTCCTCTTCAGTAATGTTGTGTACAATTGTTGTCATTCCTCTTCAGTAATGTTGTGTACAACTGTTATCATTCCTCTTCACTAATGACGTGTACAATTGTTATCATTCCTCTTCACTAATGACGTGTACAATTGTTATCATTCCTCTTCACTAATGACGTTTACAATTGTTATCATTCCTCTTCAGTAATGATGCGTACAACTGTTATCATTCCTGTTCAATAACCAACAATGATCTTGTTGAAACATTTGTTGACTTCCTTACTTGAAATAACGTTTAAGGTAAATGCTTGTAAAGATATATTTGACACAAGGGTTTTTTTTATTATTTTTTCTTTCAGAGCACCTTCCAACTCTAATCGTGATTGCAGGAGTAATAGGAGGAATATTCTTCGTCGTTTCTCTCACGGTTTTAATAATCTTATGCCTTCGCAAGAAATCACTTTCCAAGGGTAAATAATCTAAACTATGTGTTATATAATGTAAATAAATGGAAAGGCAGTGTACAAGTGAAAGCACGTTATGAAATATGTGCAAATGTATTGTTTTGAAAGTATTTATTAAATATTTCGCTGATGTTATACACAAACTAAAATCTATACATCAATTTAACTGATGAAATATGCATGAGAAGTATTATTGGTTAATTTCAATTAAATTCGTAGTAAAAATTAATTTCAGTATTAGGCCCAGCATGGCCAGGTGGTTAAGGCGCTCGACTCGCAATCTGAGGATCGCGGGTTCGAATCCCCGTCACACCAAACATGCTCGCCCTTTCAGCCGTGGGGGCGTTATAAGGTGACGGTCAATCCCACTATTCGTTGGTAAAAGAGTAGCCCAAGAGTTGGCGGTGGGTGGTGATGACTAGCTGCCTTCCCTCTAGTCTTACACTGCTAAATTAGGGACGGCTAGCGCAGGTAGCCCTCGTGTAGCTTTGCGCGAAATTCATAAAAACAAACAAAAACAAACAATTTCAGTATTCCAAATCGTGAAAATCACATTTCAACAGACTAGCTTGCCAAATAAAAATACAAGTAATGGACTTTACGAACACAAAATACTTCTCAGTTTTAATGATAATTTTCACTCGCAGGAAAAGAGTTTGGATCAGAAAAGCAGGGAAAACCCTCGGACACGGTATCCTCACGAGGGTCGGATCTCGAAGTCGAAATTCGTACGACGTCTTCGTTGCCGAATGACAATGATCGATGTTGGGATGAGGCAAGTGACACAGGAACACAAGATTATCACAAATATTCTGAGTCAAGTAGTCGCCCTCCCAGTGTAGTAAGTGTGTAAAGATAATTCACGAGCTTACACTGTTTTAAATCAGAAATGTAACTCTTGATAAGTTCTGTATTAAAAAACCCTTATCATGCAGGCTGCAGCACTGCCTATGTAGGGATGGCTCGGTTTGTTCACCGAAATCGTATTTTAGATATCTCCTCAATAGGTCATCAGGACTTTACAATACCATATAACAACAATACCTTTTATAACAATATATATGTAATGATTGAGTCCCAAGTTCTTTGAATGTCTGTAAATATCATAACAAAATGTTTGAATTTCTTGTTGTTCTCTCCTTTGCTTCTTTTTTTCTCAGATAATAATCCAAACCAAAACAATGATTTTAACCAGTTTCACTGAGGTGAAATAATTTCAAACTAGTATCCGTTTTTATAAGTATTATTAATAAGTAGCAGTAATTTAAAAAATCATAATTCTAGTGTAAACGATGTTATCATTACCCCTTTAAGTTAGCTTTTTTACATATATTTGGTGTTCCTTTAAAAACATTAAGTACATAGCGAATCGGGAATTTCCAGCCAATAACAGATAAATAATCAATATTGGTTATAAATACAACCTTTCTATGTCTATTGAAACACTGTATTAAAAAACAAGTCAAGAAAAAACGTTTCAAAAATGGAAGTAAATGTAGAGATGGCTAATATCAAAACTTCAAAAACAATGTAAACAAGACAGTAGGGATGGCATTTCATCATCCCTAAATAATAGCACAGGCAAGAATTAACATATAGCAATATATATATAAATATTCAATCACAACTGAGTTTAATTTTGTCTGTTGATGATGCAAATGTTATCCCTGCTATTTTGTTTGAATTATTATTGAATGACTGATATTAGCCATCCCTACATTTACTTCATTTTTGGAAATGTTTTTTTTTTTCTGTGTGTATAGCAACTTCAAAATTCGTTGAACACATGGAAATTACTCAAAACGGTAAGAGAACAAAACGAAACGTTCCTTATGGTAAGATGTCGCTCAAACACGTTTTATATGCTCTAACAATCTATTACTTAGATCCCTGGGATCTACTAGTATTTTAGATTGTATTGCCTTTATTTTCTGCTATGCATTTTCACTGCACCTGTTAGCAATAGCTAGTTACTAAGAACTGTGTATGGTGAATACGTCAACAGCATAGGTCTTTACTCTCAAGCTCCACAATGGGTCAGCTGTAAGCTTACGAACTTAGATCGCTTAAATCTGAGATTAAATTAACCGTGGTAGACAGAGCGCAAACAGTTCATTGTGTATATATACCTTTGTACTAAAACAAAAAAACACAAGATTTACTTTTAGACGTTTATCTAATTGGTATATTTAATTGCACAGGTGCACAATGTTTTATTTTTGCTGTGTCCATCGCAAGTATCGAACTCCGGATATTAACATTTAAGCTTATCGCTAAGCTAATGAGGAGGGGGGACACCTTTATTTCGATACCCTAAACATGTATTTAGTAATGTTCTAAAGCAAATTTCAACGACAGCGAAGATAAACCATCCTTACTCGCACGTGAAGAAAATATGTGAGAAATGTTAGGTTACTCCATAAGCTAGACTCTGGTTTTGAAATCGAACAAATGTAATTGAAACTATGGTCTACACTCGATGTTGTCCTCCTTAATATCCTTCAACTGAAACTTGTAAAAAAAACTATGTCTGTTTGTCTATCGACTGATCTATTCATCTGACGTTCTTCCCTGGCCACTTTAATTGGCTACCTAAGGATTTTACGGCTTTTATGTAGCCGAGATGTTCAAATTGGTCCGTGATGTTTGTTTTACTTCGAATGAAACTAAATAAATAACAGAGATTAAAACCCTTTACCGTGCTTAACTATAATTTATTAATGTGAAAAAAAGAATAGAAAAATATATTGAATTTACAAGTGTTTTCAATTATTTTATGTAGGATTACCAAAGATATATCTCGCTTTAAACTTTCACATAGTTTTGTATGTTATTTGTAAAATATATCAATTAGATGCTTCACTTCCGTTCTCAAATCCCCTCAAATACTATCCGTTTACTCATAAAGTTGAGTCATTTCAGGAAATCCAGAGAACGAACGGATATGGCCCTTACATGGACTACGCAGCGAGAACCCCCGGAGTTGTGAGTCGGACATCCTACTATGTGGACGAAACCGGTTTCCTCAGTAGCAGGCGGCAGCAAGGGCACTCTAATTCATATATAGGTAGCTCCCATCCAGATCTTCTTCTTCCTCAGAGAGCCCACGTCAGCTCCCGAGACAGAATGTACAGTCCAACGTTTTCTTCACAGCACTACATAACCGTACTTCCTAGTCAAGTTGGCTTTAGAACAGACGCGTTAGCTACGAACGTGTGATGAACTGGGTGTTAGCGTACTGTGAAAATGAAACGTTTGTAGTTATACGGTGAAAACTAAAGATAACTATTTCGTCGTACTATGATCAGGCTAAAGTTGTATGGCTGCGATGACGTTGCTTATACATGGATATCAGTATTACAGATTATCAGAGTTGCAGCTTATTGTTTCAGTAGCTGAAACCGTACTTGATATATACCGGTCTTATTTCAAGGATATCAGTATTATCAGAGTTGCAGCTTATTGTTTCAGTAGCTGCTACCGTAAGTCATATATCCGGGTCTTGTTTCAAGGATATCAGTATTACAGATTATCAGAGCTGCAGCTTATTGTTTCAGTAGCTGAAACCGTAAGTGATATATCTGGGTCTTTTTTCTAGGATATCAGTATTACAGATTATCAGAGCTGCAGCTTATTGTTTCAGTAGCTGTTACCGTAAGTGATATATCTGGGTCTTGTTTCAAGGATATCAGTATTACAGATTATCAGAGCTGCAGCTTATTGTTTCAGTAGCTGCTATCGTAAGTGATATATCCGGGTCTTGTTTCAAGGATATCAGTATTACAGATTATCAGAGCTGCAGCTTATTGTTTCAGTAGCTGATACCGTAAGTGATATATCC